TGACTTGCATTCATACTTATGATTCTTATTGCTATATTTCATTAAAGCTGTTAAACATGTAACAAATCAATAGGGAATTTCCATGGATATTTTAAAGTCATGAAACTTTGCAAGGCACTAAAATTAAGAATTATGATTCATCAGAAGATTAAGATAATAAAATCATAAGATTTTCGGTTATTTCTACATATTTATTTAGTTAAGATTTGTAACTGGAAATAAAATATTTGATTTAAAAATTAAAAAGATTCAATGAGAAATGGTCAGTGTTATATTTATTACATGTATGCAAAAATTCCCAGCACATTTTTCTTTTTTTTTACTGTTATGAACACAATTGAAAGCCGGTACTTTGCTGAATTTTTTTTTTTTTTTTTTAACACACACCTAGGTCATTCTCTTAATGAATGTAACTAACCTTCCTGCAGAGGTGAAATATTGTATTTCACTGCATAAAATCCTATGAACTTGGCAAGTATTTCAAAGTGCAAATCTAAAATTAATTTCTAGATGGAAATAATTGTCACTTCGGAGAGATTGGCATCTATGAAACATTAATTTGTTACTCCCAGCCATTTTCTGAAGTTGTTCAGTGTCAAACATTTGTCTATCATTCAGGTAGTATTGTTTTAAATTTGATTAATAATTAAATATGAGAATTTACTCATACAACCAAGCTACCTGACTAAAGAGTTGTCTTTTTTTAATCTTTTATCTTATATTTTGCAAAGGTGTATTTGGATTAGTTAACATTATCTTCCTTTTGACCTAGAATATACTTTAACACGAGCTATTATGATAAATGGTGTTATCAGTAAATGGCATGTGTCCTTATTTTCACAACTCCATCCCTAATTATAAATGGCATTGCTTTACAGTATTACCAGAAAAGAGATATGATATAATAGTTGGGCTTGTCTTGCACAATATATATCTTGGATTTGGAACCACTTTGGATCTTTTTAAAATGTAGTACATTTCTTTTTCTATAGACTTACAAAGACTCAAAAGAGTAGATAAATTTTCATATTAAATGTATAACAATATAAAATATAATTTGAAATCGGTATCAGGAATGTAATTAGCCCATTGGAGAATGATGCACAACAAAATGGTAATATTATTATATCAAGAATTACTTGTTTCTTTGTGACTTTGCAACCAATCAGAAGAGGCTTGACTCCATATATGGAAACACACTCTCCAATGATATTACTTTTGTCTTGTATGAATGTCACTTTTCATCATTATAACTTATCAACCTATTCATGTCTTACACAAGGTTTTTTTTTTTTTTTTTTTTTTTTTGCAGGGTGGGGAGCAAAACATTGTATCTCTAATCTCTATCTATAAAAGGCAGGGTGTGTGTGTGTGTGTGTGTGTGTAACGAATGCACGGCCGCAATGCACATGCTCCAAGTTAGCAGGAAGGCCAAGACTGACTTTGCATTTCCCAACTCCCGTCAATAGTGGAAATAATCTGTTTTTTTCATGCTTCTACGGCAGTTTTCATGTAGTTTGAGTGAGAGCCTATAGCTGGCTGCCACAAATGGGCAGGAAGACTCTATTGGTCAGCGTGAGAGCCAACAGCTGACTGACATGAATGTTAACTAGCATGCTTGCATGCAAAAAAAAAAATCAACGTTTATTCCGATTCCACAGAACTGGGTTGGGTGTGAAAAAGTATTTGTTAACATTCTTTTTCATTTGGTTTTTCCAGTTACGAGTCCTTTTTTAAAGCTGATCGTTTTGTGTTCATTTTGGTTAGTTCTTTTTTCATAACAGATTTAATGTTTAGTATAGAGCTTAGAAAAAATTTGCAGTGTGAGATAGGCAAGAAGTAAGGCATGTAGCAACATCAACATGGCAAAGGGCATTCCTTTAAAGGCAAGGAAGGGCAAAAATATTTTAAGTTAAGTGATAGCGATTGCTGTATGAGTCATACGATTTTTGAATCAAGCACGGGCAATGCTGCTAGTTATCCAGATATGTCAGACTTTCACTACAATCCAGATTTTGCACCCTGTTACTTATAGTTTTTCCCAAAGCTAAAATTAACCTTGAAAGAGAGATTTCACATTGGATGAGATTAAAAAGGACACAAGGTAGCTAATTGGATCTTAGAAAAGAACTCTGCAGAAGGTTTTGGAAACTGGACAGGACACGAGGATAAATTTAACATCCAAATGAAGCACTTTCAAGAGAGTTAAGACATTATTGCCTTAGGATGTTTTTCTTTCTCTAATATTAAATGGTTCCATACTTTCTGAACATACCTTGTCATTTTGTTTTCAGTGATTTCTATATTTCAGATAAACTATCCTCAATCTTTGAGGTGGGGAACGAGTAATTCTCTAAATCTCAAGACAAAATCATTTCAATGATTGTTCAGACTATTGATTTTATTCTATTGTTGTTGGTACCACAACACTTCAGATGGTTCATTCTTATATAACTGAGGAAAACTGTTTGTCTTGCAATTTTATATTTTTTTCTATATATTTAAATGGAAAAATTTTCTATTTTATGAGGGGGAAAAAAACTTGATGATTACCTTCTGAGGGGGGTAAGCAGAAAGACCAGTTTATACTTTTAAACTATACTATGAATCCTAATTTATCATCTGAGGGTTTTCTTTTGATATAATTTTAGTCTTGTGCCTAAATTCTAAAAATTAACTTTTTGTTTCATATTTTATCTGCTGTCAAATTATACAGTTAAAAGAATTTATTTGAGGATACATGAGAATTTTTCAGTAATTTATTGTAAATTGTTTACAAAAATGAATTGTTTGCAAAAATGAATTGTTTAGATCTGCAAAAACTTGACCTTTTTAATCCAGAGTTAATGGAAAATAAGTTTTTCAAGTACAGCTTGATTATTTCCTCACAAGGTAATGTACCCTTTGGTGAAGCTAGTAATTTGTTTCTAACTTCCAGATACCTCTCTCAGGAATGAGATAGATGTTACCTTTTACCTCCTATCTGATACACTTAAATACATTAGGCTTTTATGATTGTTTTTCTTTTTTTATGTAAGTAGCCAAACTTGTATTCATAACTTCTATTTTTGTCATTTGACTTTGGTTAATTTTTAAAAAAAGAACTTTCACCTAGAAACAATTCTATCTATAAATGTGAATAGAGAATAGCTGACTACTGAATAATCATTGGTTCTAATAGGGAGTGACTGCTAAAATTCCACCCTTCCTAAATTTATAGATAAATTCTACAGATGCATTATGGGACTTTTTGTTATTCAATAAAAATGGACAATTCTTAGTCTTACCTACACTTTTTTTCTTTCTTGTCTTGAAGTTCGGTTATAACCACTTGACTGTATCTCGTTTGCATATGAACACTGTTTATTTTTATTTTATAATGGTTTACATTGCTTTGCATTGTATTGTATCACTTTGTCCTGCTATTTTTATTGTTGTTTTTGTTGAGAATTTTGTTAAATCCACTTAAAAATATACCTGCTTATTCAACAATTATATACCCAAGTATAAACCTTGAATAGAGAATCAATATAAGAAGTGTGATTGTAATGAGGATACCCCATGTGGATTATTCTCCACAAAAAGAATAATTATCGCCAACCTGTCTACTTGAAACTCAAAATGTAAATTATTTCATACTAGTTGTAGTAGTGGTCAACTATAATTTATGTAGCTCAAATTAATATATATCCTTTAAATTAATCTGAATTTCTAATGTTCTCACTTTTTTTTCCTACAGTGAGCTTCACCCTGTACAAGGCCTGGTGGCCACTCAAGGTAGAGGGTTACAGATTAAGAGGCACAATTTATGTGGATAGGTGAGGGAAAGTAACTTAACCCTAGACCTAGGCACAGGGAACAGACCATTTTTCCTGTATCTTTAGCAATGGATCATGTGTGCAAGTTCCACAATGTTTGGGATTAGTTTAAGGCCCAATGGTCTCGAGGCACAGGGCCTCTCTGAGGGAACATCTATCAATTGTGACTGGTGGTAGTTCAGGGTACAATTGGTGATGGTGGAACGTAACTAGTTTGGTTTTCAAGGCATTGAATGTAACTAGCCAGTTCCCCTCCCACTTCATTGAGATGTTAGAGCTAGATCAGATGAGAGATCAGCTACCAATCTCTGGTCAGCCTGAGTTTTGGTGGTACACCCATATATTGTATCATTGGTATAGATATACACAAGTGATCTGAGTATACTCTTAAACAGATCATTTATATAAAGTAAAAAGAGGGTTGGTCCAAAGGGGATGCCCATGTTGATTGCTAGGGCCCAGGAGGACTGTCCATTAACAATTATCTTCAGGGACTTATCCATTAGGAAGGACTTTATTAATGACTCCATAGTTTGAGAGCTTGAGCAGAAACCGTTTGTGTCATACCTTGTCAAAGGTCTTTGAAATATCTAATGCTAAGGTCCTTGAGTTGTATTTGTTTGTTGTCTAGTGCTTCACAGATTCTGTAAGTGATGAAAGGTAGGACATCAGGAGTGGATTGGGCTGATCAAAACCTGTACTGATTGTTACTCAAGAGGCTGTTCTTGTTGCTCAACAATCTTCTTGTTGATTATAGCCTCAAAAATCTTGCTAATGAGACTGATGGATTTATGCTGAAAGGGGGATGAGTGCTGATTTTTTTTTTTTTTTTTTTTCTGACATAAAAGAATAATTCTTGTTGGTACTCCTCACCAGACAAGTTGTACCACAGAGATCAGAACAAGTGCAACATATTTTATAGTCTCCTTACATTAAAAATATCCTACAGAACTTCCATTCCACTTCTAGGGTTATTTGCTGTGTTGTATTTGCAACATGAGGGAAAAGGACCAATTCATTTCATTACCAAAAATAATAAAAAAAACATTGCAAAATGTCTGTTCTCTATTAATCCATCATTCTAACAAGTTGAGTGATTCAACCTCTAATTGTTCTGCAAGTATTTGAATATTTCATGTTCAGCTATGGTTTTTACCAAAATCTACAAATACCACTCAAGGCTTGCAGCCACATCACATTGAAACATAGGGTCCTGTACAATCACTGAAGTTAAGCAATATTGAGCCTGGTCAGTACCTACATGAGTGACCACTTGGGAATACCAGGTGCTGGATGTGCAGTGGGTGTAATGGATAATGGCTTGAAATTGTTAATTGAAGAGCCAAGTTCCAGTTCTCGTTGGGTTCATTATATTCACTTTGTGCAAATTCTCTTGAGATACTTTCGAATGCACATCTTTTCCCCCCAGTTATGGATTAATTAGTAACACTGGTATCACTAAATCATTATCTCAAAAAAACAATTCTTACAATCTAAAAATAATTTCTGGCTTTAAATAACTTACAAATGGTTGATAAGCCATGAATCAATCAAAATATCTGTCGATAAGTATTACATACACAGACAATATATGAATAGTTTTGTTTAACACCATATCAACTCTTTATGGCTCATTTAATGCAAAAAATTTATTTTCTTGTGAGCTTTGGTAATTTTTTTTTTCTTTCAAATTTTTTCTTTACTATGAAAATACATGCTGGTAATTTTTTTTTTTTCTAATGTATTTTTATATTTTGATCCCCTTTTTGGGTGTTCACTATTTGCCCATATCTAGGACCCTAACAGGTGCTACCACCCTGGGTCAGGGTGTACCTGGGAACAACAGCAAATAAGAGGTGGTTCCATGCTCCTCAATACCTCCTCATCAGGGGCCTTGCTATCAGATATAGTTTATCATCATACCCAGGACAAGAACTTAAGATCACTAAAATAACTTCAATATTTATCAAGTGATAATGTTGGAAAACTTTTTGCATCAATCTAATATTTTATTTTTCTATCTCAAACCTGTGTAATCTCTTCAATATAAAGACTTAAAAGTTTAAAGATGGCATTACATTTAAAAGCTGTATAGAAACTTCATGATTAACATCTAACATCATTAAAACCACAACTAACAACAGATATAATTTTTAATTTTTTTAAACTCCCAAGGATGAATGCTGCTTATGGCTATTTAAATAGATTTAGTAGTGAATGCTGGACCATCTCCTCACAAAGAGACTTGAGGCAACAAGTGTGATTCTACAAAAGGATGCCAAGAATATTATGAACATGAATATATGAAGTTTTAGAGAAAATGGAAAGAAAAAGAACATAGCATCAGAAAGAGACTGTCAAATGAGGAAAGAGGGCTTAGAAAAATTGAGTCGCAGTGCATATTGAAGACAAGAGGGACTGAGGAAATCAGTGCATAACATACCTCATGAGCTTGTGTAAATTACAGAACAGGGATTAGGAGAAATAGCAAGAAGGCAAACTTTACTCAGGGTTACAAACAACAGGAAATTGTGGAGACACATGATGACTCACATGCTGAAGGTACATGGCAGATAGAAGACTATTTGTTTTTTTGTTTAGCACTGGTACTTGAACAATGATCCATAAAATCTCCAGTTCTGTTCTTTCTATTAATCTTTATCACTTGAGTTTTCATCAAAAATTAGCTATTTAAATTTTGTTTTATTCTTTCTGCTATACATTTAAATGTAGAACAGTTCTTTTGGGGTTTTTTTTCCCCCCTTTTTGCTTAAAAAAATTAAATTCAAATCTTTTATCAGCTGTTATATTCAGAATAGAATTTTTTTTTTTTTTTTTTAAAAGTCTCAGTAAATGAAATGTAAATGCAAATGGGGAGAGAAAAAAGTAAACTTGCATATAATTGCGTGTGTTCTAGTCTGTGCATCCATTGTTGTTTCTGCTGTCAGCAGTTTTCTCTTTTTCAATTTCCCCTCAATCTTAAAGTGTGCCCTCTGTTCTCTTGCTGCTTTATGCTAGTGTGACATTTTGCTGTCAGTTTTCTGTTCTCTATCTCCTGCTCGTCACAACCTGACTAGTTTTCTCTTACATTGTACAAATCCATTTGAATTCTTCTATAAATAAATCAGTGGGTGGTGGAGGGAATAAAATGAGTAAAAGGGAAAAATCCATTCAACAAGCACAAATGGTCATGTTTTTTTTTCTCCCTAGACTCTTATTACATTTTTTTTTTTTTTTTTTTAAGCAAAACCACTTCACATTCAAATTTATAGTGGATTTCACTGTTAAATTCTTTTAACCTGACCTCTCTGGAGATGTCTTTTATTGTTTAACTGCACACCCTCACTATACTGACTTTTTTTTCTTTTTCTTTTTTTTTTGAGGGAGGTGGGAGTGTCTCTTTTATCTTTTTACATACACTCACTGAACAAGTAATTACATAACTATTTTTAACTACACCATATAATCATAATTTTGAATTAATGCTAAACAGTACCCACAACAATCACCACATAAAATACAATATGTACTACACCCACACAAAATGTATTTGTGTAAATTACATGCACACGCCTATAAGGCGGGGTGCTTAAAATTATTTGGTTAGATTCTGGAAAATGGATTGAGTTTAGTGTGGAATGAGTAGCCATGGTCAAATGCAAAATAAATAACAAAACTGTCCAACAAATAGAATTGACAAAATTTACAATAAACAATAACAAGGAAAAGAAAGGAATAGGGCAAACAATATATGCAAGACAACAGTAATATGGCAAAAAGTTCACAAGAATTAGTGTTGACACACAAAGGCAAGGTTGGACAAGCGAACATAGTGTTCTGACTTCAAGATAAGACAAATCAGGACTGTCAGGGGAAACTGTGAAACTGCCTATTTTATTGGCTAGGAAAAAAAAAATTCCAGCATGCATTTGAGCTTCTGCCTATAAAAGGGGTGGGGTTGCAGTCATTGGTTTAAAATCAACACTTAGAATTTTATTGGAACTTCTTTGCATATATCTATATGTAATGCTTTTCCTCGATGTATAGAGAATACACTCTGACCCTGTATTTACTCATCACCCACCTCTTGTGGCATATCAGTTTTATATAAGAAGCTCATACATGGTCTCAGAAAATAAAATTCCCAGCTCACACAACTCCACTGTCATACTTTGGTGCAGTAGAGGTGGTGGTGTTACAGAATTAGAATTGCTGGGACCTGACTTCTCTCATTGGTCTGCCTTGAACTGCCCAAGGGCAGAAACATGGTGCCAGTATCTCACATCTCACTGCAATAATAAACAGATGCTACACTCTCTTCTTTAAGAATAATTGCAAGGGCTTACATCTTGAACCTTGGCAGTGTACCCAGACTGTCTTAACCTAGACAGTATTGATCTATATATAAATAATCCAGTTTGTGTGTGTGTGTGTGTGTGTGTGTGTGTGTGTGTGTGTGTGTATAGAGTAATGGATTGTGGTTCTAATTAAGGAATCAGACCAGTTTCATTACATTCACTTAGATGATGATACCTCTGGGGAAAGGTATGAATCTCTCTTCTACCCCCAGCTATGGGTAAATAGCAGAACAGACTGGGTTCTATAGCTTTGGATGACAACCAATCTAGGACAACTCTGAATTCAAAACTTGCAGAGGGTCATTTGGGGACCTTGTGGCATACTGTGCACCAGTTCACTGTATTTGGCTTTTCCAAAAAGTGTGGTAAGTTCTGCATAAGCCTTCACCACTATAATCAAATGATATTGTGGGTTCTAAGAACTGATCTGCTTGACCCTCGAAAATAATGGGAGAGTCGTGTGTGTGTGTGTATATATATATATATATATATATATATATACACACACACACACACAATGTTAAGTTTTAATAGATTTATGATCCATACAGATTTTTGTTTTTGCCTTCCATCTCTTCATGTTTTTATTCTACTTAAAAATGAAGGAATTGCATATATTTTATTTCTTATTACTTAATGCTACACAGAAAGTTAGATGATAAATTAATTTATAAGTCAACATTAAAAAGAGAAAAACAAACAAAACTTTGTAGCTTAATTATACGCTTATACGTGACATGAGGCCGGATTAGTTTGCAAATGGTTGGCTGTCTATACGATGCAAGGCAAAAGCGTCTAATTTCCATGCAATCTCTAGCTGTTTTTCTTTTTGTATTTTGTGAATAGAATAATTTTAATAAAAATTTTGGACATTTAGAACCAAAGTTTACAATTGATGCCTTAGGTTGTTTTTTTTCTCCATTTTAAATTATTGTTGTTGATCTGTTTGTCAGATAGAGATAAAAGGTTGTTTGTTTTGTTCTTTTTTGTTTATTTTTGTTTCACTATTATTATATTTTGGCTTTATTGTAAATTGCAATTAGCTATTAAGATAAACTTCATGATTATTGACTAAAAAGAAATTAGATTTAACTGAAAGATTAAAATTTTAGATTTTTTATTTAAAGACTGGCTAAAATCATTTTAATATTTGCTCTCTGATAATTAAGATTTTTTTTCCTTGATGAAGCAAATTTAACTTTGTTTTTTACATTTAAAATAACTAAAAAAAATGTCTGAAACTTCCATGGTTTTCTGATTTGAATTATCTGATGTATCTTAAGTTAATTGAATAAGCTCATGGCAAGTTCTATAACAATAAGATATCTGTAGAAATCCCCCCCCCCTTTTGCAATCATTAAATATTTGAGCTTAATAACTTTAACAAAATATTGCAATAACAAATATGAATGCTGGTCATTATTTAAAGTAAGGGGGTACAAATGAAAACATTTGAAATTGACATGGTTTTCCATTTCACTGAAACAACCGTTAAACACATGAGGATGTTATCACTTTTTCTTTCTTTTTTCTTTTTCTTTTTATTATGTAAGCATGGAATGGTTCATTATTTATCTGACATAATGGCAGGGCATAATACATGTGCTTATTGTTTCTTCTATCTTCCCTTTTTTTCATTTTCTTACTGAAACTAAGTAGCATCTCTGATGTTTTTGTCTTTCCATGTATCAAAACAGAATAGTCCATTTATGAGGTATTGGTAGGGCATAATTTACATGCTAACTATAGAACTAATGAAGGGACAAGCAGAATTATAAGATGTTAAAAATGTTGATCTACTGAGACAGTTCATATTGACAAAGTTACATACATAACTGATAATTTGAGACAACAAAATGGAAAAGTCTGAAATTTTTTAATTACATAATTTGTAAAAATTCTGTGTTCTAAATCTTATTGAGTATTTATTTTAATT